CCCCCCAGTATATATGATGATTTTTAAAAATCTTATTTTCTATCAGGATCATTAGAAATAGGCTTAGGAATATCATTCTGTCAGTATCCAGGACAAACTCTGGAGAACAGTTCTAAACTGTTTATGCAAGTACGGCAAAAAGAAGCGTAAACAGAAATTGAACTTCAGATATGAGGAAATGAAGATATTACTTACAAGTGAAGGTAGCAGAAAGGGCCCCTTTGGGTTTAGGAAGGAAGGAATTGGATAGGTCCACGGATCTGAAAGGAAGCAGGAGGGAAGGCCCCAGGGCAGGTGCTATTTCTCATAAGAGCCATGGAAGGGCACGGAGGTTACTGCTTCATTGCAATAATGTTCATAATATCGGTACCACAAAGGGCTTGGCCACATGCTGACACTCTGTTTTTACCTCTGGATGCGATAACTTTGTTTTGCCCTGCTGAATGTGCTGTCCCTCTGGTAACTTGCCATATGCATTATCCAGCACTTTAGAAGCAGTTTCCTTTTTCTTTTTTTTAATAAACTTTTTAGAGGCACAGTTGACCCTACATGTCTCCAATGCCACAGCCTCATTTAATCAATGAAGAAACAAAGCCCAGAATGGTTCAATAGTTCTGCAACCCATCAGCCCTTTTATACAGAATAGTATTGCAAAAGCCTTTCCAAGAAGAAACACACTGCACCAAATGTCATTTGCCCAGTAAGAATAGTTTCTCCCTTGGATCGCTTTACGCTGGTTCACTCTTCAGTCTAAACAGCATTATCAACTCTGATGATCCAGCTTTCACCGCCTCTCTTGGAAGGTGACTGTAACATGTATCATCAAAGTCAGGCCACCTGTGGGAGGGGTTGGGGTCGCTCTTGACGGTTATCTTGGGACAATATGTACAAACCAGGTCTGTCCTGAGCGGGCCAGGAGGAAAGGGCACGTTGTGACACCATGAAATTCTTCAGAAAAACCGTGTTCATGAATGTTCAGTAGGTGATAAATGATACCTCCTCCAGAAAACTGAGTCTCTGAAAAATGACCCTCTTTAGAATAGTGAGTATCACTCTTGCCACTCTCCTTCCCAGTTCACACGAATGCAACTGTGGAACTCGGCCGTCTCCAGTCCCACTCTGTGCCACACTTACCTAACAGGCACAATCAGAAAGAGGGGAGGTAAGAACTAATCATAACTTGTTATCAGAAAGATGCCTCCGTGGCCGTGTGGTTCTGTCTTCAGAGTTCTGCCATGCCAGGTCCTGTCCACCAGCCGCCTTCACCATCCGTTACTGTAGATACTCAACTCTGGTGTCCTGAAGAGGCACCTGCAGGCCCCCTGCGTGACCCTCTTGGTTTCCTCCCTGGAACACAGACAGCCGACACATATACATACACCACAACCCTTTAACCTCCCATCAACAAAAAAAGATGAAAACTAGAATCAAAAGAGGAATTAGCTCATCTGATCAGAAGTGAAATGACAAATGCAAGGCAAGCACTGTGCCCCCTTCTGTTGCTTCGTCACTGGGGACTTTTAAGGGTCCAGAGCTGACAGTAAATAATCAGGACCCTCTAGGACTCAGTGGAGTGGGCTGAAGCCAGATCATGGAGGCAAGGTTTGTCTGGACATCTGTCTCTGGAAAGGTCTGCGGACGCTGACATTTGACCTGTATTCAACCGCATCTCTCTAAACCAGGCCAATGGGCTGACATCTTTCCTGATGTCAAGTTGAATGTATCAAGACCCGCTTATAGGGTAATAATTACAACACTGTGTATATTAGAACAAAGATTATTTCCACCTTTTCTTTCTGTCCCCTTGTGCTTTATTATCTCGGGAAGGGAAGAAAACGTTGATCATTTTATTTTTTAGGCCCCAGACCATCAAAAAAGCTCACATAGTCTCTTTATTTTCTGTTTTCTTTACTTTTTTTTTTTTTTTTAACTCAGTGCTAGTTCTGACTATATATGTGGCCAAAATAAAAACCAAATAAAAATTGCGTAGTCCTCACAACAGTGTAGGGTACGGGGGAATTTCTTAATGGAAGTAACTAAGACTATTTGCATTTTAGTTCCATTCTTCCTGGGAAACCAAAGCAGCTTTAGCTGTCTAAGTTCCCCTGCCTGGTGGGAAAGTGGAAATGCAGTCAGCATTTTTCTAGAGGTCTCGCTCCATTTCTTATCTTACGGTGAACTCCTTCCTCTCATCACTGTGGAACATATTTTGAAAGCTGTGCTTCTCCCAAATACAGTGGAATCCAATACAATTTGGACAAATTAAAGAAATAGTCCAATGGAAACCTCCGTTTTAATATTCAGTTAAAGAAAATGTAATGTTTACGGCTCAGCGCCTGTGGCTCAAGCGACTAAGGCGCCAGCCACATACACCTGAGCTGGTGGGTTTGAATCCAGCCTGGGCTTGCCAAACAACAATGATGGCTGCAAACAAAAAATAGCCTGGCATTGTGGCGGGCACCTATAGTCCCAGCTGCTTGGGGGGTGGAGGCAGGAGAATCACTTGAGCCCAGGAGTTGGAGGTTACTGTGAGCTGTGATGCCACAGCACTCTACTGAGGGCAACAGCTTGAGGCTCTGTCTAAAAAAAAAAAAAAAATGTGATGTTTTAACAGAAGGGCATCAACTATGTTATTATTGAGGATGAATGACTAAAAAATAAAGAAACATATAAAGGCTGAAATGAAATCCAAGTTTGAACTAGATAAAAGAGAATTATTGCCAAGGTTTAAAAGAATGATTATGTTTCAGATTGCATGTGAAAACCCCACACTGTACCCCAGAAGTGCATTAATGTACACAGTTACCGTTCAATAAAAAAAAGAAAAAAAAAAAAAAAGAATGATTATGTTTTGGAGAGGCGCCTGTAGCTCAAAGGAACTGGCCCCACATGCTGGAGGTGGCTGCAAAAAAAAAAAAAAAAAGAAGAATGACTATGTTTGTTCAAGAGAACAAAAGAATGACTATGTTTGAGTCAGTCACCATCCCACATGCCAGGAAGATAGACAAGCAAATACAGTAAGAGTTTTGCTCTTCATGATCTTACAGTCAAGGACAGGGAACGAGATAAACATTGATAATACAAAATGCATGACTATTGTGACTGCCGTGACTATTAAGTGATGCATAGTATACAATATTTAAAACTGGCATGCAGCAGCGTGAGCTATATCAATGTTTATTGAATAAGTACGTACATACATACAATACAGGATGGACCTAACGTTCATGTACAATTTAAAGTAGTTTAACATAGTATATATTCTCTTGCTAGTCTTATTCCCTATTTAAATTCTTTTTCCTTATATCTCAGTGGTTGTGGCTAAGAGATATTCTGATTATCCAAGGTGGGAAGCAAAACAGAGTCTCGGGCTGTTCTACTTTATTCCTGTAATTATCACAGTAATTATTGATAGTGCCCATTGAGTTGGTTCCTAAGAGGGAGACAAAGTATTTTTCTTCCGGACTTATCTTGGAGACTATGAAGGTTTGAGGATCTTTTGCTGAAACATAAAACTATGATATGTTAAAAAAATAAAAAGTAAACCATAAAACTATGGAGTAGGCCAGTGGTTCTCAACCTTCCTAATGCCACAATGTATTTTCATTGTTACAAAGGAGTCGTGACCCAAGGTTGAGAACAGTGGAGTGGGCACATGTAAGGGGTCCATAGGGAATGATTCCATTCAGGTGAAGTTAAAACATAGGTACAACTGACCTGTCCTCTTCTAAAGATAGTGGTCACCTTTGGGGAATAGTGACTAGCACGGGGGAAGAGGAGGCTCTTGAATGACTTATATGGGCTCTGTATATAATCATTAGATATTCGTTATCCTTTGAGTATATGCTATACCTCAATAAAAAGTCCAAAGTAAAAAAAAAAACTAAAATTATTTGTATTTTTTAATCTCACTGTTGTATCCTGAAGGGGCTCATAGTAGTCAAAGATCACACTAGCCAAATTGCCCCAAGTCCTAAGACCATTTGTGGCAGAAACAGAATTGGATATTGGACTTTCTGGTTCCATGCCTCGTGTTTTGGTTTTGATTTTTGTCGTGTTTTGTTTTCAATCACAAGCTACGCTAACCTCCAAGACCCATGACAGTGACTGAGTCTGCTGGGGGGAGCCTGTTAACCTTTGTCTATGAACTAACGCCATCTGCAACGTTGCAGGTGAGCTGTGTGAGGAGAAGCTGGACTTCTGCGCACAGGACCTGAATCCCTGCCAGCACGATTCCAAGTGCATCCTGACACCCAAGGGATTCAAGTAAGTCAGAGGGGCTTTCTGGGCTCACCATTGGGGAGAGGACCTTTCTGTGAGGAAACCCTCTTGACTGCCGCTTTGGGGTTCCACTTTTGCTCAGGATTAAAGAGAAGACTTCACTCGTATCAGTGACATCTTCCTAAATGTTCCATAAGCAGTAGGAACATTTATTAGCACACAGAAATAAATTAAAAGAATGTTTCCTTTTATTTCATGACTTCTTAGAAAGTAATTTATGGACGTAAGCAGCCTTGAATACGCTTACTTAAATTCATTTGAGACTAATCCAACTAAATTGATAATGTGCTTCATTATCTGAAGTTAAGTCTGTGATCAAATCAATAAGGAATTTGATTTTAATGGAACTGAAAATGTTACAATCTGACACGTCCTTTGACTGTCCAAACAGAGTCCCAGGACAGTTCCAGTTTAGTCCTGTAATTATTACAGTCATTATTGATAGTGACCGTTTCACTATCAGTAATTTTTAAAAATAAATAAATAAAATTTTTAAAAAGAGAAAAAGAAAAAGATGAGATTTGAGCTGGAACATTAAGATTTTGATAGGTACCCAAGAAATCATCGAGCGTTCTAAGTCAGGTCAGAGAGTTGAGTCAGTATCACTAGATTTCCCTTGCATTGAAAAGGTCAAACTGAATTAAATATTTACCCTCAAATTTTCTTTTCTTTTTTTTTTTTTGCAGTTTTTGGCCAGGGCTGGGTTTGAACCTACCACCTCTGGTTATATGGGGCTAGCACCCCACTCCTTTACAGCCACAGGTGCCGCCCTACCCTCAGATTTTCTTCTCACAATATTTTTTTGCTTTATATTGGCTTAAAATCCAAAACTTTAGAATACATACAATTGTTGTATCTCCTGATTCTTTTCAGTATTTTACTGAAAAATAAAAAAAAAAAACAGATTATACATGTACCTTAGTTTACAACCCTATACAAAAACCCAGTCTTTTAAAATTTTTTCTTTGTACCAAATTGTGCATTAAATTTTATGCAGTCAAGAACTATAGGTAAATTAATTTTAACTCCCAGTATCATAACGATGTCCCTGCAACTGAACGTGGCAAATAGAAAAAGCATAACATAACAAATGTCTTCATGGCCCAGAGATTAGTGAAGCAAGTTTTCCAGAACTGCTTATCTGTTAAACAGATTTCACGGGGCTTTATGCATCGTAATTATAAGATAAAGTATTAGTAAGACTTCATTGAAACTACTAAAAATATGGGAGTTTTTCTTCAGGAAGACTAATCCTTCATTAAATATCCCCTATGGCTATCCTCCTGATCGCATGCTCTTCAAAGGTGCATTTTGCTGGATTACGGAGTAACTGATTTGGAAATCTCCTATTTTCAGTGGTTACTCTTGAGCTTGTTCTACAGCTCTGTGTATATAGTTGAGGTGCAAAAAGGCGAAGCCAGAGTGTGTCCTATGGTTTCTGTCTTAGAAAAATTAAACATTGTGGGGGGAAAAGTACCAGAAAGAAAATGGACTTAACAACAAAACAATCTGAGTCTGGTAAAGAGAATCTGTACTGACAAATGTTGTTTGGACAACTTGCACTGTGACTTCAACTTCATTTTCTTATGACCAAGCTAACAGAGCTGGTGTTACTTCTCTTGCTTTGTTACATATCTCATCAATCTCCTCAATTGCTCTGAGATATTTTTAGACTATGCCACGTGATAAGTGGTATTTTCAAACCTGCATCTTACTTAGCCCACCTTGGGGATTCTAAACAGTGCATTTTATATTCCTTCCCATCTTCCTCCCTGCTTGTCAAGTAACACAGTTGAAGGAAAGTGATCGAGGTTCTCTGGATAATGCAAACGTGAAGAACATTCTTATTTAAATCTTTCTTTCTATTTTGAAACGCAATCTGAGGAGCAAAAGAAAGCCAAAAATATTGGACACAATGTAACTCCAAGTTCTAATGGGTTTGAAAAAGAGTGTTTGAAGAGCAGAGAATAGAAAATAGCTCTTAGACAGCCGCGGTGGTGAATGTGTGGTTCCCTTTATCTTTTACTTTGATTTCTTTTCTCGGATAAATAATTCAGGGTGTTTCAAAGCATTTTTTCTTTCTTTTAATGCTTGGCCCTTGAGCAGTTTTGCTCACATTAACAGATGGAAGTTTTCTTCCTGGGCCTTGTCTATCTATGGGGAATGTGTATGGCCACTTAGGCCCCATTAAGCTTCAGACTTGCTGTTTACTTTGCTTTGTTATGATTTAGCATTAAAACTGACTGGCTGCAGAGCGAGCATGCTTGTACAGTGAGCTCATGTCACTCCTTAGTCCGTACACGCAGGACTGAGAGTCTGTTTGTCCCCCTCACCGTGTATGTACTCCCGTTTGTTTTAATTCGTCAGCTCTCTTAAATCCTGATTGTGCATTTTCATACAAAACCTGTGGCATTCAGTAATGCCGCATTCTTTCAAGTGTTTTTCATTATCCTTACTTACTTAAATCCTAATAGCTTTGAAATAGAAAAGTGGATAATTAGTACAGACTAAACCATAAAGGATTTTATAGAATTAGGTGCACGTCTAAAAAATGTACACATGGCATCATGAAAATACCAACCGTTTGTTGATCCTGCATTACCTATAAAAACTATAACGGTTACAGATAGTTTTAAGCTTTTACTAAGGTGGAAATTATTGTGTCCATGTTACAAATGAGTAAGTGACACTTACAGAAATTAGGGAACTTAATTGAGATGACATGGACTTCATGCTAAATGAGGGATGTCAGACATAGTTAGACAAATACTGCATGATCTCACTTTTAGCACGTGGAATGTTAAAAAGTCCAACTTGCCGAAATAGAAAGTAGGAGGGTGGTTACCAGGAGTCAAGGGTGGGAGGAACGGGGAGATGTTGGTCACTGGGTACAAACCGTCAGTTATTGGATGAATGAATTTGGGAGACCTGTTGTGCAGCCTGGTGTCTGTAGTAACTAATACCATATTGACCTGAAATTTGCAAAGAGAGCTCATTTTAAGTATTCTAATCACAAAAGGAAAAAGGTAACCATGTGGAGTGCTGGGTATGTGAATTAGCTCGTTGGCAGTAATCATTTCACAAGGTATACGTGTTATTAAAATGGCACGTTCATTTTAAAAATTTACAACTTTTATTTGTCAATTAAACCATAACAAATGTGGAATAAAAGAAAGCTAAAAGAAAAAAAAAGACAATAATATATATTTAAGAAAGAAGCCACCACGATACAAATGCAGTTCTGTACACCTGCAAGACCTAAATTCTGTGGAACTAGATGATAATTTCCTGGCGTCTATGTGTTTTTGTGTTTGTTTGTTAAAGTCAGTAAGCCCTCTCTTAAACCCAAAGCAAAAACGGGTCATCGCCATCCGTCACCTCACCCCCTGAGCTCCACCACCTCTCATGGATAGCCAGCTCATAAACCTAATAAAACACAACAGGCTGGTGCTGGGGGAAGAGTGGAAGGTAGATAGAGGCTTCTAGAAGCACCATCGCCATCTGTGGCCACAACTGTGGGGATTCTGGGGTCCCCTGTAGGTCCAAATACAGAGCTTCAAAACTACTCCACATGACACATGGCTGTTCCCCAGTCCTGGGTCCTTGGTGTCCCAAGAGAGTCCAATGGTCAGCAGTGGAGAAGGACAGGTTTTAAAGAGAGGCCTGAGGAATTAATTATCCAACAGCAGAGGGCAGTGATGAGAAAGTCAAGCTTTCTGGGAGGCTGAGGCAAGAGAATCGCCTAAGCCCAGGAGTTGGAGGTTGCTGTGAGCTCTGTGACGCCACGGCACTCTACTGAGGGTGATAAAGTGAGACTCTGTCTCAACAAAAAAAAAAAAAAGAAAGAAAGAAAAGAAAAGAAAAAGAAGGAAAGTCAGGCTTTCTCATCAGGTTGTTTGGGTTCAAGTCCCAGCTTTGTCCCTCAGCATTTGAGTGTCTGAGAGCAATACACTTTCTTTGTCCCGTACTTTCCTCTTCTGTAGAGTGGTGGTAATAATATCACCAGTGCCACAAGACTAGGGCGAAATAATTCTGAACCACACATGCCAACTGGTTAAAACAGGGCCTGAGACAGGAAGTACTCACAGAAGGCCAGCTGGGCTTTCACGATCGATGCAAATGACATCCCTCCTACCCACACACCATCACAGTGAAGAGGCTGAAAAGCTGTCCATGGGTTCAGCTCCACGGATCTTCTATCCGTTCCCCTATCCCACCGCATCCAGTCAGCCCTGTTCTGCCATAATGACCATCTGGATTCATTCTGAATTAAGATATCCAATATCAACATGTTGGCTCTTCTGAAAATTATATTTTTCCAATGCATCTAGTCTATTGGATATTGGAAATGTTTTCAAAGTTAACATTTTAAAAACATGCTTAATACTCTTAGAAAAATTTACAACACAGCAGTTTAATCATCTTAATGGGTCAAATGAGTTAGGGGCAACTGAAAATAAAAGACTCTTGAGGCAAATAAGATGGGGAGAAAGAAAGGAAGGGAGGGAGGGAAGCAGGGAGGATGGAAGGGACCCTGATGTGATAATTCTGTACTTGCATGGATTGTGGACTCACTGTCATCAGAGAGATGAAATCACTATTTCTCTGACAGATCATAGTGAGGAATGGAATACTTTTCCATTAATATTAACTCCATTAATTTGGGAGTTCTATAAGCCTGTTCTAAACACATTTTTTTTAAAGACAGTACCATTTTTACTTATTTTTGGCTCAGTTGCATTTGACACATTTACCTGCTTGTTGAAACAGATGTGACTGCACGCCGGGATACATAGGCGAGCACTGCGACATCGATTTTGACGACTGCCAAGATAACAAGTGTAAAAACAGAGCCCACTGCAGGGACGCGGTGAACGGCTACACGTGCATCTGCTCTGAAGGGTACAGGTAAAAGAAGAGGTTCACGCGTAGATGGAGAGCTGGGTCCTACAGGTCGCAGTTCACACGGGGGATTAAGTAAAATCTCATTCACGCATTTTTTTCCTCTTTACTCTGCAGTGGCTTGTTCTGCGAGTTTTCTCCGCCCATGGTCCTCCCCCGCACCAGCCCCTGTGATAATTTTGATTGTCAGAATGGAGCTCAGTGCATCATCAGGATAAACGAGCCGATATGTCAGTGCCTGCCCGGCTACCAGGGGGACAAGTGTGAAAAACTGGTCAGCGTGAATTTCATAAACAAGGAGTCTTATCTTCAAATTCCGTCAGCCAAGGTTCGGCCTCAGACAAACATCACACTTCAGGTAAGAGTCCCCCTCTCTCAAGAACTGATCTGATCTTAAACCAAATCCAAGGAAAAAAATATCTGTGGCGGCTTGTGAATGATAGGAATGGGGCGTCTTAAACAGATGGTAAGGACAGTAACAGAAAATGCACCTGTGTGGGACATTTTTCTCTTCGACATTTGTATTCTCAAAACAAAATGAGTCAGGTATTTTTATTCACCACCTGATCTTATCAGGGGGAGAAAAAGCACACGGCACCAAAATATGTCTCTTTGTTTCATGCTCTGGCAAAGGCATTTCATTCATTCATTTTTACGGCTCTGCACCCCAGCCTTTGCACAGGGGACGCTCTTCTTAGGAGGCCTGATGCTGAGCTGGGTATAGGTGAGAATGAAACCCTGGATTCAACTAGTTACTTGTAGCTCCTCACTCTAACCCTTGAAGAATTGACATGAAATTCATGAACTCAGATTTTCAGTCTCCCTGCCCCGTCACTGTGTATGTGAAGTTTCATTCAGACCCCCATGGAAGGGAGTGCAATAGATTGAAGTAATCAATGTAGGGTGCATGGGACAGATTGGGTCTATGTGTGTGTTTTATCTGGTAAGCAAAAATTTTAATATATTTTGAATTCAGATGACTTTAACTAGTTTCCTGTAGACCTATAGTCCCCAACCCCTGAGCAGGGGAACAGAGGCCACACAGCGAGAGGTGAGCTGGAAGGCAGGCCGCTGAAGCTCCATCAGTGTTTACAGCTGCTCCCCACCCCTCACGTCACCCCCTGAGCTCCACCGCCTGTTAGGTCAGCAGTGGCATTAGATCTCATAGCTGCACCAACCCTACTGTAACCTGTGCATGTGAGGGGCCCAGGGTGTATGCTTCTTATCAGAATCTAATGCCTGATGATCTGAGGTGGAGAGGTAATGAGCTTGACTCATCCTGAACCTGGTCCCTGGCACCAAAAAGCTTGGGGACTACAGCTGTAGACCCCACCCTTTCTTATTTGGTTTCCCCTGACACTCCAATGAGGGGCAGGGGGCTCTTTAGAAGTCAGGAGGAAGAGGAGCCTGGGAAGCAGGTATCCCTACCTCCAGTACGTACCATGATAAATTCTTATAAAAAGTACGTTTTGGCTTGAGTCCTGACTTACATAGTTTGTCCTTTAAAAGACCCCCAAAAACCAAAAGACAGATTTCCTCCCACACATGACTTAACTGTAAAGAATCTTATTTTTTTATGGGATATGAAAATCAATGTTTCCCGTTATAGTCGCATTTCTTATATTTCATACATAAAGCTCATAATAGAAGCAAAAGGAGTAGGTCAGTGGAAATCTCCGGCAAAGGAAGTTTCAAGCACATGCTTAAGTATTTGTTATTTTTCTTGTTAAGTTTCTTTATGAGTTTGCTTGCACAAAGGTAATTTAAGACCAAGTTGCCTTTCAAGTAATAATCTCAGCATGCATTACTCATAGCCATAAGGAAAAAATAAACCTTAGTAGAACCTCTTCCCTCCCTTACGGGTCTGTTTTATTAGTTTGTGGGCTTTTGTTTTGTTTATTTGATGAAGTAGTTGGGTTCCTGCACAGCATAGTAATGTCAGGGTTCCTCCCTACTAGATCGCCACAGACGAAGACAGCGGGATCCTCCTGTATAAGGGGGACAAAGACCATATCGCAGTGGAACTCTACCGGGGCCGCGTCCGTGCCAGCTACGATACCGGCTCTCATCCAGCTTCTGCCATTTACAGGTGAAGATCTCTCAGTTACGGGTAAAGGTGAAAACATTGTTTAATGCAGAACTGCTTCTCTGTTATTTTATAATGAAGAGGGGAGGGGATAATTTGGCCCCAGCAGGCTTAGTGCTAGGGAGGGAACCAGCAGGAAAGATGATGTACTCAAGTTGGATCATTTGAGGATTTATAAGGGGACCATGTACAAAGAGGTGGCCAAGAGAGTGCAGGAATGCCTGTGGGATTCAGGGGTGGGGGTAACCGATGGAAATCCATGTTCTGAGGAGGCTTTGTAGAGAGGTTTTCCTGGCAAGAACTGAGACCTTCAATAGAGGTTTGCAGCCAGCTTCCAAAGAGGGTCCCAACAATCTCCTACCCAAGCTTCCCACTGGCCAAACCAGATGCCAGAAAACACAGATTCTGGTTATAGCACTTGGACATGACCTACCCAGAGCTCAGGGCTGGGTAAAGAAGGGAGTAGGGGGTCTCCAGAGAAATAAAGGAAGATCCCCAGAGCTGTGAGGAACTTCACGCTACCGTTCATGCAGCACGTCTGCTGGGGACGTGCCACATGCCACGTGCCAGACACTGTTCTGAGGTTTAAGGTGCAAAATCCCTGCTCTGGTGGAGCTTACAAACCATAAGCAAGTGGATTCGTGCACTGTTGTGATAAGTGAAGATCACTTGATTACTCATTTTGGAAGTTTTCCAGTGATTAACGATATTGATGATACATTGGAGATTTAAAAAGCATGGTGTTCTCGGAGCATATATGTTTATGTTCTGTGCATAAGACTAACCATCATGCACTTCTCTATGAATCTGCAGCTGTAATGCAGCTCATGTTTTCACATATTGAAATAACCGCCACCCTTCCAAGAAGAGGTCACAATAAGCTCTCGGTTTTCCTAGGCAGTTAGAATAAATGAATGAAGTGAGTCAAGTGCAAGAAAAGGAGTCTGATCTCACACTTTTAGTCTTTAAAAGATCTAACTGTTGAGATAAACATTCCTCTATAACTAATAGCCTTGATGTTGGCAGTATAACCAGAGTGGCTATGACTAGAATGCACTACAGTGAATCTTTGTCAAAGGATGATGATATATACTCAGTTCTCCCCGAGTGCTGCCAGGTGGGACCAGGTGGGACCAGATGTTAAAGGAAAGGCAAAAATACGTGGAGTTTGTAGGGGAGGGATTTTTTTTCTCTCTTTTTTTTTTTTAAACAGAGTCTCACTTTGTCACCCAGGCTACAGGACAGTGGCATGATCATAGTTCACTGTAACCTCAATTCCTGGGCTCCAGAAGTCTTCCTAGCATACCGAGTAGCTAGGAACACAGGTGCACACCACCAGACCTGGCTACTTAATTTGTTGTTGTTGTTGTTGTTGTTGTTGAAACAGTCTCACTATGTTGCTTAGGCTGGTCTCAAACCCCAGGTCTCCAGCGATCCTCCCATCTCATCCTCCCAAAATGCTGAGATTACACGCACCTAGCCTGCGTTTTGTTGTTGTTGTTGTTGTTGTTGTTGTTGTTTTAGAGACAAGAGTTTTACTTTCTTGACCTTGGTAGAGTGCCATGGCATCATAGCTCACAGTAACTCCAACTCCTGGGCTTACGGGAATTCTCTTGCCTCAGCCTCCTGAGTAGCTGGGACTACAGGCACCTGCCACAACGCCAGGCTATTTTTTTGTTATAGTTTGGCTGGGGCCGGGTTTGAACCCACCACCCTCGGTATATGGGGCCAGCGCCCTACTCACCAAGCCACAAGTGCTGCTCCCAGCCTGCTTTTTTTAACGTAGGGTTTTCTCTCCTTTAAATATAAGTTTGTATTTTTAATATCATACATGATGAACAAAAACATCTGTAGGCCAAATACACTTGGCAACAAGTGAGTGGGCATTGGTTATCACATAAAGTGGAGACCAGGGCCCTGTCTTACTGATACTCTAGTGTGTATCAGTATGCTATGGAAGACCTCATATCTTACTTGATCCTTCATCCTAGTTCTAGGACAGCAGATGCTAATTGTAGCCATGAGTGGAATTCAAGTCTTTTTGGTGGTGAGCTAACCCCACTTAGGAATACTTGGAGCATGGAGGCAAACACCTAATTGTTGGTTTCTAAGTGGAATGCAATAGTTTTTTATCCTCCACTGGTGATCTATTAGTGTCAACACTTTACGTTTTACTAAGCCCTAAATTACATAGCCTCAGTAGGTTTTGGTCCATAAAAAGCTTTCAGAAATTTGTGGTTTATGGTTGCCTTTTATTTTTGATTTGTGTCATTGTATGTACTGAAGCAGCATAGAATTCTCAGAAACCTCACTAGAGCTTTTGAGGTTGGCTTATTAAAGCTGGTGTTTGTATAACGTATGATGAAAATATTTCTCGATAATTTGTGGAAACTCCAAATGAAGACTTACCTTAAAGAGCTTTGAGTTGATGTTCTTTGCCATTTTGCCTCACAATAGAGTGACCCTTGTGTCATTCGTTAGAGGAATCTCACGTCGCACACTGTTTATTAGGAAGCAGAAACCTGTGTGGCTGCTGGAAGACTAATAGAGATATATAATATGAGGACGAGGACAACACAGCTTTAATCTAAGTCTTGCATTTTAGTGTATGACACAGTAATCAGGAAAAGTTATCACGTTATTTTTTGGTAAAAGAAAAGAAACAATGACTACCAAGAATTCAGCTATATAGATATGCCTATTATATTAACTTATATTAATTACATAATATATTTTGTGTTAAAAATTAATAATTAGTAATAAGAAAAAAGGGCTCAAAGGAGTAGGGCACTGGCCCCATATGCCGGAGGTGGTGGGTTCAAACACAGCCCCGGCCAAAAACTGAAAAAAAAAAAAAGAAAAGAAAAGAAAAAAGGGAAGAAAGAAGTAAGGGAGAAAGGAAGCAGAGAAGGAAGGAAAGAAATGAAATTTTCTACATATAATATTGAAATAATTTTAAGACATACTGCTCTATTATGAAAGAAAAAATTAAGGTAAAACAAAAGTGTAAACAAATGTAAGTTATCATATTTCCATAAATTTGCATAATGCAAAACTAGTCATACAGAACACAAGAGGAGTGGAAACAGGACTGGTGTATGAATGCCATATTATATCACGTTGATTTTTGAGACATTTGAATGTCATTACTCAAAAATAAAGTCTGACAGAATTCCAGAAGATTAATAATACATTAAGTTATTATTTATGAAGGATATTATTGGCTTAAAATTTCATTTTCTATATTAGGTATTGTTTCAAATAAACCAGTATAAGGGCAATTATTTTATGAAATTATGTCCAAGCTACTAATTTGCTGCCTTCATGGTGACTTAACTTTTCATCTAGGTAAGGAAAAACTTCTTAAAAAAATTCTTCATGAGGGCGGCACCTGTGGCTCAAAAGAGTAGGGCGCCGGCCCCATATGCCAAGAGATGGTGGGTTCAAGCCCAGCCCTGGCCAAAAACTGAAAAAAAAAAGTTCTTCATGAGAAATATAAGCTTCTTTCTTGAAATTCGAATTAATGCCACTTTCCAAACCAGACAGCTTCTCTGGAAATAGTCAAGTACTACCTAAAAATTAAGATATTAAGGCCAGGCATGGTGGCTTACAACTGTAATCCCAGCACTCTGGGAGGCTCATCTATCTTGTGAAGCAAGAGAATCACTTGAGCCCAAGAATCTGAAGTTGCTGTGAAATATGATGCCATGGCACTCTTCTCAGGGTGACAAAGTGGAAAAGAAAAAAAAAAATAGAAAATAGAAAAGAAAACGTAGCAAGTGTGTGGGTGGTGTCTGTAGTCCCAGTTACTCGGGAGGCTGAGGCAAGAGGATCGCTTGAACCTAAGAGTCTGAGGTTGCTGTGAGCTAGAATGCCACAGCACTATAGCCTGGGGTAGCAGAGTGACTCTCTGTCTCTAAATAAATAAGTAAATAAATAAAATTTTAAAAATTAAGATATTTAAATACGAGTTAATATAACTTTAAATATGTTTAAGAAAACTCAAAATGTCATTGTTTGTGTCCTGTGTAAGTAAAATAGAGAAAAAAAATCAGTGTCATTTTAGAGCCCCCTTTTCATTTAAGTCCCGAGTATTTAAACTATTTTTTTTCTGTAGCAAACCACAGGCATAGTTGGGTAACTGCTTTGGTTTCATTCATCCATTTGCAGTCTAGAAATTCAAGAGAACAAGTCTCAGGTAATAGATGAGCATAAGAAAATGAAAGTATATAATAATGGTAATAAATGCAATTTATGATCCCGGTGGAAAGGCTCCACATTAAGTGGTTCACTTATGGCTTTTGTGAGTCTTGAAAGGTATAGTTCCTTAGGGAATGATGAGAGAGAGTTTATCAATACTGATCGGAACCCAGAAGGATGCTGTGCATTGCAAGTGGGGGCGTAGGCAGTGACGGCAAAATCAATGATCGCTCAGGCAGTCTTCCAAGTCACAACTGCTGCGACAAGCACCGCTTTAATTCTAAAACTGTGTGCAGGCACAGACTAGTTTATTTCACACTATAGAAGACAGCACAAACCACCAATTT